CTGGAATAGATTTCCCAGAGAAGCTGTGGCTGCCCCTGGATCCCTGGAAGTGTCCAAGGCCAGGTTTGAGCAACCTGGGCTAGTGGAAGGTGTCCCTGCCCATGGCAGGGGGTGGGATGGGATGATCCTTCAGGTCCCTTCCAGCTCAAACCAGTCTGGAATTCTGTGAGATAATTGTGGGGTTCGGGTTTTTTTTAAGCTCCTTTTAGGGCCACGGGCTTAGGGAATATTGGGAATTAACTCTGGGAATAGACAAGTGCCCAAATATCCTGCCTCCGAATCCCAGGGATCCCAGGTGGGACGGGAGGCTGGAGGGAGCAGTGGTGTCTGTGTCCATCCCTGAGGACATTCCCGGGAAATCAGGAGCTGCACTGGCATTTTTAGGAAGTCTGGGCTTTGTTTCCTTAAAGGATGGACAAATGTGGGGATAGAATTCCATGTCTGCTCATTCCCAGCTCCTCTCCAGCACCCCTGGGAGCAGCGGCAGCGGGACCCGCCTGCTCCTGTTGGACAGGTTTGATGGGAGGGAGCAAAGAAATCCAAGGGTTTTCCCTCGGCTGGAATTCCCAAGGTGCTGGAATTCCCCGCCTTTTACACCTGCTGTGGCCACATCCCAGCTTTCCTGGCTTGTGTTTGATCCTGGAATGAGCTGATTCCAGAAGGGAACCGCCTTTTCTTTGTACCCGTGAATCCCTTTTTGGTTGGTTTGGTTGGAATTTTGTGGGAAGGGAAATCCTTGAAGTGGTTTCCCACTGGGAGAGGTGAGCACCGGCCACGGGAAGGTGCAGCTGGAGGGGATGGATGGAAAATGGGAATGTCCCTTTGGATGGGACAGGGAATGCAGGATGGCAGTGCCAGCCCGAAAGGATGGATAAAGTGCAGGATGGAGGCCGATGATCCAGGTGGGAATCTGTGGGAAAGCTGAGGGAATGCCTTCCATCCCGAAACCAGGAATTAGTGCCACAAGAGCTTTTCCATCTCCACGTCTCCAGAAGATGTTGGAGAGGGAATACATTGTGGGAAAAGCACCTCCGCCGTGGTTCCGTCGGGATTCCCGGGAAGAGCCAGGGAGCAGATGGAGGGATAAAAGGTTTTCTTCCACATGATTTGAGGGTTAATGGGCTGGGATTGCTTTGGGAATCCCTGTGTCTTCCCACTCTGCAGGTGGAGAAGGATCCTGCTTCCCTCCCTTCCCGTCTCATTCCCGGTTGGATGTGGCCCTGGGAGGAATTCTGAGGGAATTTTGCAGGCCTTGTTTTTCCTTCCCAACAATGTCATCATCCTTCCCGCCTTGGAGCTGCTGCGGAGGGCTGGGAATTCGGGAGGGAGAGCAGGAGTTCGGGATCAGAGGCTGAGAATCCACAGGGACGACATTCCAGTTCTCCTCCTGTCGTCCCGTGGGATGGGAGGGAGGAGAGGGAATTCCAGGAGAAAAGCCGGAGCAAACCTGGCCGCTCCACGTGGCCGCTTCCACTGCTCCAGAGGGAAACAAAACTGGGGGAAAACCAGGGAAAAACCACCTCCAGGGCTGCTTTTCCACACCCAGCCCTGCCCAGAAGGTCCGAGCTTTGCCCCAGCCCCAAAACTCCAGGGGGGATCATCCCAATCCTGCTTTTGGAAGGAGAAAATGAGGGAGGGAAAGGAATTCCGGAGGGTTTCCCGGCTGGAAATGGCGGCGCTGATGAAGCGGAGACAAACCCCACTCGGAATTGTGGAGCTGCTGGTTCACCCTTCCTCTGGAATTCTCTTCCATTTTTTCCCCCCTCTCCATGAATTAAAACAACAAATCCCATGGAATGTCAACACCAGGACCAGCTCTGCTGTGATTTTCCTTGGATTTTCCCCTCCTAAAGTGGTTTTCCCAGGCAGAAAGATGCTGATGGACATCACCGGGATCATCCCAACGTCACTCCTGCTCCAAAGGATCTGCTTGGAGGCTCCAAGGGAATTGAAGATTCCAGGAAAATTCCTCTACAGTCCAGCATTCCCAGCGATGCACAATCCAGGCTTTTCCAACACATGTTTTTTTTTTGGGAACGAGGGTTTAAATTCCCCATCCGTGGAACTGGGATGGTTCCAAAGCACCTGAGGGATGGTGGGAAGAGAAACGAGCACGGAGGGTTGGGAAAGAACTCGGCAATTCCGCAGCTCCAGGTGTTTGTGCCGAAGGAATTGGGTGGCACAGGGAGACAGGGAATTAAGAGCAGCAGGTTTTTTTCCTGGGATTCACACAAGGTTGTGGCCACGGGGAATTCCGGGATACGAACCCCAGCGATGGGAACAAAGTGTTTCTCGTTGGAAAATCAAAGGATTCCTTGTGGAAATAGGGACAAAAATCCCCTTTGGATCTTTCCTTCTCCACAGGGCGGGATCTCCGCCGGGCTCTGGGGGATCATGGAATTGCTGAGGTTGGAAAAGCCCTCTGGGATCAGAGTCCAACCATCCCCAGCACTGCCAAGGCCACTCTGACCGTGTCCCCAAGTGCCACATCCACAGGGCTTTGGAATCCCTCTGGGAATGGGGACCCCACCCCTGCCCTGGGCAGCCCTTTCCAGGAGGAATTGTCCCACTATCCAACCTAAATTCCCTCTGGCACAGCTGGAAGCCATTCCCTGTCCTCCTGTCCCTTGTTCCCTGGGAGCAGAGCCCGACCCCTCCCCGGCTCCCCCCTCCTGTCAGGGAGTTGTCCTGGGAACCAGGAATTTTTCCAAGGACACACGGCCAAGGTGTTGGATTTTCCGAGGCGCTTTTGTTCCCGGGGTTTGTTTCTCCTGGAAGTCCCGCTGCTCCAGCTGGGATCGAGCCATTTCCATAGTAACCAGGATTAGGAATTCAGTGAGGGATGAGCAGCAGGGACACACAAGTTCTGCCTTTCAAAAATCCTCCTTTGATCCCGTTATCTCCCTTTGCTGGATTCCAAACGGCTCCTGGAAAACCAGCGGTGGATCCTGGATCCTGAGGATGTTTTAAGGAAGTTTTTAAGGTTTTTCCCTTCAGGACTTTTTGTTGGATAGTTTAATTGTGATCCTTTGTTTTTTTGGCTCCTTGGAGAATTGTTGGATTCCGGAGCTGTTTTCCTACCAGGAGAAACCTTCGGCTGCTCCGGGGACTCTTCAGGACTTGGCTTTTTGCCTCTGGAATGAAACCTCTGGAAAAAGCCTGGAGGTGAGGGCAGGGCTGGGCCAGGATTCCAGGACACCTGAGCTTCCCCTTGGCCTGGGGGGGAGGAAAAGGTGCCAGGAGGTGCCATCCCGGGATGAGGGAACTTCCCTGGGAGCTGAGCTCACCTTCATGTCTCCTTCAATCCAAAGAAATTCCAAGGAAAACAGGGATTTAACCACCAAACAAGGTGGATGCTCATTCCCTGGATGAAGTTTTCCATGCACAAAATCCCATTGTGGGATCTGGAGCTTCCCAGTGCCAGAGAGATGAGATGAAGGAATGTCCCTGGGAGCTCAACTCCATGTCTCCTTCAGAACAAGGAAATTCCAAGGAAAACAGTGGATGTGACCCCCAAACAAGGTGGATGCTTGTTCCCTGGATGAAGTTATCCATGAGGAAATCCCACTGTGGCACCTGGAGCTTCCCAGTTTGCAGGGAGATGAGGCTGGGACGTGTTTTTTGGGATTTGAACCCTTTCCCGGGCTCCCCGGAGCTGGATCCCAGCAACCAGAAAATAGGGAATAGGAGCAGCTCCAGCTCAGCTGGCAGCAAATACCTGGAGAAATCCCGCTTTTTCCCAGCACTGACCTCCTTTGAACTCCTCCAAAAGAGACAATTCCTTGTGCCAAGGAAACCTTTGGCTAGGATGGGACAGTCCTGGAATCCTTAAAGGAAAGAGAAGGAGCTCTTGGGAATTCCGCTTGATCCCCAAGGAAAACGAGCGGTTTCCAGGGAAAAGGGGGAGCTGAGGGTCGTTTTAGGGATTATCAGGGATTGGTTGGATGTGCCTGGGTTGGGTTTACTGTGGAGGAGCCTGAGGGATTGGGAAGAGACCTGGCAGGAATGGAAAGAGGAGCCGGAATATTTATTCCGACGTCAAGACGTGGAAATTTTTCCTTCTTAGAATTTTGGGAAAAGGACAAATCCCCGATTAAAGGGAGAAATATTTCAAAGGAGAGAAAAAGGGAAGGAAAGGAACAAATAATCCTCAGTTGTGCCTGTGTTTGGGAAGGGCTGAAGTGCCGCTCCCGTGGGAATGAGGAGCTGCTTCCCGGAGCTGCGGAGATGGGAGCACGGGAGCCATCCAGCAAAAACACTTCTGAGCAGCAGCTGGGGATGAGTCGCTCCCAGGAATCCCAAAATAATCAGCTGGAGAGGTTGTGGCACCGCTGATTGAAAGCTTTCTGGAAGGCTGGAGGAATTCCAGAGGCCGGGAAGGGAGCGGATGAAACGGCGCCGTCGGCGAATCCAGGGGGTTGGGAATGGTGGAAAACCTGCTCTGCCATTCCCAGAGTTTCAAAGGGAGGCAAAGGGAGCATCATCTTGGTCATGGGAATTTGGTTTAGGGGAAGGTGGGATGTTCTGGAATTCCACAATTCCCTGCCAGGATGTCGGATCCAGGTGGGAATCCGGCCCTTCTCCCGGGGAACAAGGGATGGGACGAAAGGAAAAGGCCTCAAGTTGCCCCAGGGGAGATTTAGGTTGGATTGAGGGAAAATTCCCGCCTGGAAAGGGGCTGTCCAGCCCTGGTGGAGCCCCAGTCCCTGAGGGATTTAAAACTCTTGGGAAGTGAGGGATGACAGGAAGCAAAACCTGGGAATGAGTTATGGAATTGGGTGGGTTGGAAGTGAAGCAGTGAAGGAAAATTATGGATCCTGCAGCTGTTCCTTCAGGATAAGGCTCTGTCCTTGCCCTTTTCCTGGAAAAGATGCTTTCCTTGGATGGGGATTGTCACAGTGTAGGGATAACTGGCTGGGAATTCCCAGATCAAGGGGATTTAACCCCCCCCTTGGCTTTCATGGATGCAATGCAAAGAGTTTCTTCCCAAATTTCCCTGGAATGCTCCTGCCAGCATTTCCCTTGGCTGGAGCCCAAGGGAAAGCTCCCTATTCCTTAAAATGTTCCATTTCCCAGGGAACCAAGAGCTGGGAAAACACCTGCTGGGTTGGAGAGTTGGCTTTCCTGCTGGGAAAATAAGTGGGATGGGATGGAATTCCATAGGCAAAGCACCCAGAGGGATCCTAGAAATCCTTCCACAGCCACATTCCCGCCTGCTGCTTCTCCAGGCTCCCCTCCTGCCTTGGGATACGGCCTGCCTGGAGTCTGGGAAGTGGGAGAACGTGGAATCCGGCGGGAGCTCCGGAAAATCCCGTCGTTCTTCGGGAAGGGAATAAAACCTGGAATGTGGGGGCTGGTGGGAGAGGGATCATCTCCCTGGGAATGAGCTGGGAGGGATCCCCAGGGATCAGCGAGTCCAACTCCTGGCCCCAAATCCCACATTCCCAGGGGGAAGGAGCCCAGGCCATTTCCTGATCCCGCAGGGATGGGTATTCCACAACCTCTCCGGCCAACCTGGGCTGGTGTCCTGAGTTTTTCCAGGAATATCCCTGAGACTTTAGGGAAGATGGGGTGGAATTAGTTGGAATTGGGGGTTTTGGGCAAGTCTGGGAGGATTTAATATCCAGTTCTTTCAGGATCCAGGGAATCTCTGCCAGTGGAGGGAGGGAACAGCTCCAGGGCCCAAATCTCTCCTTATCTGCAAACCCTCCTGGATAAAATTCCAGCAGGAATGAGAGGAATGCAGGCACTTAAAGGAGGAAGAGGTGAAAGGAATGAGAAAGGCCTTGGAGTGCAGGAAGGGACTTCCCACAACTTTAAATCCCATGGAAAGGTGTCTAAATATTCCTCATAGTTCCAGAGGCTCTTGCTGGTTATTTATGGAATTGATGGGACATTTATTGGACCAGGAATGTCCGTGTGAGTATCCCGAGGTGAACAGGAGTTAAAAATCCAACTCAAATGGCAAATTTAGGGATGATTCCTGTTCTTTTTCCCTCTTTTTCAAAAGC